GGGGTATGGGGATGTGGACGGGGGGGGGGAGGGATTGGAGGCAGGTAGTGGCAGCACCAGCACCAGCACCGGCAGCAGGCGAGCAGTAGCAGGCGAGCAGTAACAGCAGCAGCAGCAGCAGTAATAGCAGCAGCAGTAGTAGCAGCAGCAGCAGTAGCAGCAGCAGCAGTAGCAGCAGTTATGGTGTGGGAAATGGTACCAGTCTGCCCGTCAGCCGGCCCGCCAGTACACACGCGCTGACTCACCTTGAGTACGGGTGAGCTTTTGGCGGTTTCCAGGAGGGCGCCCGCAGCAGCCCGAGCAATTGGGGACTGCTGTTGAGATGATGACTGAGTGTAATGGCGGTGGAGGGGAAGGTGGGGTTGCTTGCGCTGGATATGCGAATATTCATTTTGTTGTTGGTCGTGTTGCGGGCGCACGGTACTCTCAAACGAGCTGTCGGGGGGTGGCATGGCCCAGGCGTCTAAGGCCGGCTGTGGTCTTGAGCGCGGTTTTGCGCGCGATCGTTTGTGACTAGGAGAGAATGGATGCTTTTGGCGCTGCGCAGCTGCTGACGCTGCCGTTCCGCTGCTGCGCCTTGTTGAGTTTTGTCTTAGCACAAGGAAATAATGGATGGTGGTGAAGATGCTAAGGAATACTGTTCAGACGTAACCACAGGCGACGGCGCGCTTTTATAGTTGATTTTTTTGCGTACGCGGTCAGCTCGCCTTTGGTGACGTCATAATCACGGAGCCTCGGAGGTGCTCGGACTTGAGTGTTTTTGCATATTGCATGAGGGAACTTTGCGGGAAGATTTTAAAGACGCTCGGTTGGATGGAAGATTTAAACTCGTTTTCCTTTTTCCGCATCCGAGCTGTGCGCCGCCATGGCTTGCAGTTCAGGATAATGGATCGCCCGAATCCCATCCCAAATTCCATCGGATTTAATCTCATCGCAGGCGCGGCATATGCCTTTTTTATGCCTTGGTTGCTGTGTCCCGCCCACATCTATTTCTGTCTGTTTCTCGATCGCGACAGCTCAGAAGCGAAAGTCCTGAAAGTTGCTTTGGCCCAGCGCGTGCTACAACATTGCACTTCATCGCTACTTGTAGGTACGCATGTATGTCTGTGCCCGGGCGCACATGGCGCTGTACGGGTTATAAGACGGGCTGGCCGGCAGGCGGCGGCAAGGCCGGCAGTGGAGGGTAGGGAAGTGGCCGCCGCCGAGCGGCTGCAGAACCCAGGCGAAATCATCCATCCATCCATATATACATGCATGCATACATACATATGTACATGTATCAAAACATACATACCGGCCGTCAGAAAGGCCGCAGCAGACCCGGTGCCTGAGTCCAGGAGGAGGCGGCAGGAGGCCGCAGGCATGGGGAGGACCAGGAACCTTCCATTGTCCAGCTCCCTGCAGTCTCCCCCTCTAGCGGCCCAGCCCAGCCTAGCCTTGCCCGGCCTAGCCAGTGAACTGCACGCGCGTGTCAGGGTCTCCGCATACACGTTTAATAGCGTGTGGTGTTGGGGGATATAACCTTCAGCGTCCTTCACGATCACGATCAAGAGATCACCCGACAGTCGGGCCCAGCACCTCCTCCGCCACCTCCGCCGCCACCTCCGCCGCCACCTCCGCCGCCACCTCCGCCGCCACCTCCTCCGGCACCTCCTCCGCCACCTCCGCCGCCACCTCCGCCGCCACCTCCGCCGCCACCTCCGCCGCCACCTCCGGAACCCAGACGACGCTCGTTGTACTCTCCGTAGAAGACCTTTGGGCGCCTCTCATGCCGCCACGATGGCTTTTCCCCAGATGGCCACCTTCATCATTTCCTTACTTGCAGCAAAAGCTCTGTTGCAAACAAACCAATGCTTCTAATGGCTCCTTTACGTAACCACGCGTGTGGACATCAGTTAGCTCTGTTGTGTTAGTTAGCAGGCGACCCAGTCACGAACATTTACTGGAGCGAGCATGGATAGCACGTGTAAATGTTGTTACAGAGTGGGAGGCTTCTGGGCCAATTGACCCCCTTTGTCATTTCCACGATCTATCACACCATACAGCACCATCCACCATTACCACACTTTACCCCGACGCCGGATAGCACGTGTGTATAGATAGATGCGTGTGGAGATAGCAGACATTATGCAATAAATACCCTTGATCCGTCCGTGGCTGGAAAGGAGGACGCCTCCAGGACGAGAACATTCAGGGGGTCCTAGGGACCAAGAGGGGCATCAATATGAACTGCGGGGGTGAGTCAGCAACCGGTTACATCGACGCCCCCCGGGCTTACAGGACTGAATGTCCGGGGGTAAAGTAGTTGGGTTTTGAGGTGCCGAAGATGCAGACACCAGGTGCACAGGCGACCAGGGGGGACCTTTCAGGCGGTGTGTGCGAGTGTCTGCATGGCCTCCCATCATGGCATACTCATAATCGCACCGGGTTGAAGGTCAGATGCGCGGGGGGATTGACGCACGCATACGTAACTCCAGGGGATGGTAATGCTGAGTAGCAGGTATCCTTCGGAGATGCGCATTGGTGTCCTCTGCCTTAAATGCTTAGGTGCTAAAAGCATGGGGTTTGGTATTGCCGAGGCAAGTTTTATAAGCCAGCTGTATGAAAACTTACGCAGTGTGCGATGTTATGCACAAAGAATGGCAGAGCTGGAATTATGCTTGCGGGGAACATGCCGTACTCATCTTCGGGGCTGTGCGAGAGGGGCACAACTTGTCTAGTGCCGGGCAATGGATGGTGTTTCTTCGAGTCTGTGATATGATATGTTTTCCAATCAGGATGATGTTGTCCTTGAAGTGGTCTTTGGAGTGGAATATTGCACGCAGACGTGGTCCTTTTGTTCGTGGGATGCTGTACGGCGTTCCGTGCGGGGCATTACGTTTCGCATTTATAATACCTGCTGCGGCGGGGGCCAAGTCCAATAGGTGGGCCGTTCCTCTGCCGCTTTTGCTTCTCCTTTGATTTCTGTATAAAATATACTATAACATAATACTTTCTGGAAGATCACTATGCAGGCTTTGGCCGGTAAGCAGCTGTCGGCAGGCCTGAGCCGGCCCAGCCGAGGCCAGCTGGTCGTCACCAGCGTCGCCACGCCCTCCAAGAACCCAGCGTCTCGCCTGGCTAAGCGTAGCAAAGTGGAGATCATTAAGGAGAATAGTGACTATCTTCGGCATCCCCTCATGGAGGAGCTGGTTAACGACAAAACCTACATCACGGAGGATTCGGTCCAGCTAATGAAGTTCCACGGCTCTTATCAGCAAGACCACCGCGAGAAGCGATCTTTCGGGTCTGGCAAGGCATACATGTTCATGATGCGCACTCGCCAGCCCGGTGGCATTGTCCCAAACCGGCTTTACCTGGTCATGGATGAGCTTGCTGATAAGGTGTGTGAAGCATAACATGGATTGAACATTTGGGCCATAATGTCTCGTATGCAACACGCCGCCGGCGAGTGCCTGTTGACCGTCAGTAAGCATTTGTATTAAATGACCTTATGCGACTTCATTCTTTGGTGTGCGCATAGAATTTTCCTTTTTGGTGGGACAAATCGCAGTTATCTCAGCATCCCTTGGTGCGCATGACGTGTCGCATAGACCCTCCTGCAGGATGGTGCAATTTAGGAAATGCATGTGCATAATGTACCACCATTACGAGGCGTGCATGGGTATGTCGGCCCTGATTGGCCTGGTGGCTTGGTCTTCAGATGTCCTTGTATAGGAATGCCTCGTCGAAAACATGTCCTATCATTCTTTGGCAAGTCTGTGACATCAGCTTTGCAGCTGTGGCGTCCTTGACTCATTTTGGCATCGTCACCAGGCACTCATCGACACGCCTCATTCCTGCATCCGGGCCCGTTCTAAGCTGGACACCCCTAACCTGGACAACCGCCGCTGATCTGGTGCCTAAATCCTCTCCATAACACAGTTTGGCAATGGCACCCTCCGCCTCACAACTCGCCAAGCTTATCAGCTGCACGGCGTGCTGAAGCACGACTTGAAGACCGTGTTCTCAACGGTCATCAAGAACATGGGCTCTACTCTGGCTGCATGCGGTGACGTGAACCGCAACGTCATGGGCCCCGCCGCGCCGTACCTGAACAAGCCCGAGTACGTGCACGCACAGAAGGTACGACAGACAGCAAAGCCGTCACGGATACCCACGATCAATACAATATACTTCCATTACCATCGCCGCCTCTCCTGTCCCGCTTCTGCCCCAAGCTTATCAGTTTAAATTTCACACGATGACCTGGGTGGGTGCGCATGTGGCCCTTTCTCCTTCCAGCCTTCCCGCCTTTTTGAAACCTCCCAACCGCTTTTTGCCCGTTTAACGTGCCATGCAGCTGGCCAACGACATTGCGGACCTTCTGGCGCCCCAGTCGGGCGCATACTACGATATGTGGCTGGATGGCGAGAAGTTCGTATCGATCTACAAGGAGGTGGGTGGGTTGTGTCCCGTGGGTGCTTGGGTGTGTGCGTGTGTGGAGGGGGGTTATCATGCAAGAAAGTGGGAAGTGAACTGCCGGTGGGTGGGGGGAAAGGGGGAGAAGGGCAGAGGGTGTGGGAGCAAAGGTCAGGAGGGTCAGCTGCAGCCCTGCAGGCAGCTCTTTTGCTACCTTTAGCTGCGTACAGAGGCTCAATGTGGAGAAGAAGTGTGCGGCGGGCCGTGCTCCATCCCAAGGCCCACGATGTCCGGGTCGGGTGAGGAGGTTACCAATAACAATTTGGGTCGGGAGCGCCGCCGCCGCCGCCTTTCCTGGCGGGCGCGTTGAAGGAGGTATACCGGAGCGAGGGTGCCATGGGTGGTAACATGGAGGCAGTGAATGAGGCGTGTGTGCTGGGATGGGGGTTGAGGGGTAGGCTCGGAGCTAATGGCCTGAAACACAGGGAAGGATGGACGAGGGCGAGTTGGGATCGTCTTTTTCAAGTTGGGCCGTCCCAGCGGTTTCCCTTGTGTTTGGGTTTTTTTGCGAAGCTGAGCGTTCTCAGGGACTTTAAGGTTTCACTGGGATGTGTCCATTTTAATTGCAGTAGCAATGCATGGCAGTATTGGGCATTGAGAGGGATATTGAACGGGTGCGGGGGATGGGTGGGGGTGCGAGGACTCGGACACACACCGCTTTTCTTCCGTGAATGCGTTGATGGCGGATCGATAGTGCTGGGGGAGAGCGACCAGCGCATGGCGTCGTTGCCTGCTAGGACTAGGACGTACATCCAGAGCAATTCAAGCCGCAGCTACGTTTTGCTGTTTTGATCGTGCAGGACCCCAAGGTGACGGCGGATCGTGCTTTCAACGGCTTTGGCACCAACTTTGAGAACTCCCCGGAGCCTATTTACGGCGCGCAGTTCCTTCCGCGCAAGTTCAAAATTGCGGTGACGGTGCCGGGCGATAACTCCGTGGATCTGTTCACTCAGGACCTGGGCGTCATTGTCGTATCGAATGATAAGGGTGGGTGAGCGAGTGGGTGCGCATTTGGGGGAGGGCGAGAGCCAGAGGTCTGCAATTTGCGAAATGAGGAGGAGAAAATGCCACAGGGTTTTTATGGAGGGTTGTATCGGCGTATTGGGTTTGGGGTTTGCGCGCACATGCCACATGTCGTGTTGCATTCATCTTAGCAGAGCCGTAGAGCCGTAGACTGCTCAAGGCGCAGTTGATGCTCCCGAGGCTGATCGGGAACATGAAAAGATGTCCTTGCATTCTGTTGACCCGACGCTGTATGTATATGTATGTTGTGCGGTGTGTGATGCACTGCTGTGTTGTTGCAGGCGAGGTGATTGGCTACAACCTGACGGTCGGCGGTGGACTGGGCCGCACCCACCGAGACGATGAGACATTCCCGCGTCTGGCTGACCCTCTGGGGTAAGTAGCAGCGCCTCTGTGGCACACCGCAGGGCCACCCGTGGTGGCGGTGGTCCTGACCCGCATACCATCACATACCAGTTCTGGATGCATTACCTGATCTGACCCCACCCTGATGAGATGCCAGAGACTGATGCGCCTCAGGGGTTCCTATGCGGCCGTCATCAGCACGTAGGAACACATGAAAGGGACGTGTGTAACTTAGCATTTAACTCTCTCTTTCTCCCTACCGGTGCTCTGGGCTGCTGGGTAGTGTGTAGCTAGCTATCTCGAATCCATTCAAGCAGCTTGAAAAGGGGCCCCCAGCGAATGAGTGGACTAGTGGCTGCCAAGTAGGACCCGCCGTTCCTGAGTGCTGCTGGTGTTTTCTCCGGGCCCTGGTTGCACGTGACGTGATGTGTGATATGGCATCATGGCACAGCTACGTGGACAAGGACGATATCTTCCACGCGGTTAAGGCGGTGGTGGCGGCGCAGCGCGACTACGGCCGCCGCGATAACCGCAAGCAGGCGCGTTTGAAGTACCTCGTGGCGGAGTGGGGCATTGACCGCTTCAGGTACTTAGGGGTTTGTATGTGTGCTGGTGGTGCTGGTGGTGCTGGTTCTGGTGCTGGTGGTGGGGCGCTTTTGAGGACGGTGGGTTGTGGGGGCGGATCAGCCTGGGCAGCGGGAGGGCAGAAACCCAGCCGGGAATGCAGTTTGGTTAGGGTGATGTGATGTGATGTCCTGTGTAGGCATTTAACAGCATTGGAACGGCTGCACCGTGACTGTTGGACCCGCTCCATGCCGGACCGAACCGTGTGTCTAGCACGCAGTTGGTGCTTCCACCAATGATCTCACTTCACCTCGCCTCGCCACTCAGGTCGAGAGGAGTCTTGTGTTTCTCGGCAGCTATCTATTCATGTCCTACTGCTCCGTTACTAGGACTCCCGTGTAACACTCTGCGGCGCGTCGCTGGTTGCAGTGTGTTACCTCTATTCCTCTCGAGCGGTCATGTGCTCGCGTCATAGCGCAACGTGTGCAAGTGCCCGTTTGCTCCTCTCGCCTACACCGCCCTCGCCCTCACCCGCGTAAGTCAACCCACATACACCCCGCAACCCTCAGGTCTGTGGTGGAGCAGTACCTGGGCAAGAAGTTCGGCGGCTTTGTTCCCATGCCAACTTGGGAGTACCAGGATTACCTGGGCTGGGGCGAGCAGGGCAACGGCAAGCTCTTTTACGGCATTTATGTCCAGGTTGGTTGCTGAAGACCGGGGCTGCTGAAGACCGGGGCTCGCTTGAGCGAGGCAGCGGCAGCAGCGAATCGGGCACTTGGGTTCTTGATCATCTGGGTATCGAACATAAATAAATGAATATCGTGGAGCAGTAAGACAAGAGACAAAGAGTGAAAGCTGATACACGCATGGACTCCTGTTCTCTCGCCTGTTAGGCTGTCGTCCTGATTTGCTGCACATTGTGACGTGCTCGTGCTTGTCTGCTCGGGTGCTTGTGCTCGTCTGCTTGCTGTTGCTGCAGAACGGCCGCATCAAGGGCGAGCAGAAGAAGGCGCTGCGCGCCGTCATTGAGAAGTTCGAGCTGCCGGTGACACTGACCCCGCACCAGAACGTCATCCTGCGGGAAGTGGACCCGGCTAACAAGGATGAGATCATGGCCATGCTGCGGGCGGGCGGAGTGCAAGAGCTTGTGGACTGGGACTCCATCGACAGGTACTACTTGGTGGTGGGGAGGAAAGCCTTAACTGCCTTAACTGTGAATACACGGTGCCTGTTATTTGTCGGGGCCGGCAGAGAGAACTGCTACTTAGGCCGATGACAATAATGAAAGATCCACAGCAGGTGACGTTGGGTGGTGGAGTGAACGCGTCGTTCCCCTCATCCCTGCTGTGCTATCAGGATGTCGATGGCCTGCCCTGCGCTGCCGCTGTGCGGTCTGGCGGTGACCGAGGCGGAGCGCTCACTGCCCGACATCAACAAGCGCATCCGCACCATGCTCACGAAGGTGCGTCTGGAGGGATTGGGGGGGGGGGTAAGGCGATAGGGGCTTCGGGAGGAATTTGCACAGTGAGGATGATGAAGGGCGCAGAGCAAAATCAATTGTTGCCACTCGTCATTTGAACTGCTCTTCGCCTTCCGACTGGCAAGTGGTATTTCTATTTTTTGCGGCAAACAGACGGGGCACTCGCGGCGATAGGGGAAGTATGAACTTTGAAGGGGAGGGGAGGGCACGCCGCATGTTTGCCTGTACCTGTTTAGAACTTGGAGACATAACTTATGTCCGAATGGGTTTTGCAGGTTGGCTTGCCTGAGGACCAGTTCGTGCACGTGCGCATGACGGGCTGCCCCAATGGCTGTGCGCGTCCGTACATGGCGGAGCTGGGCTTCGTGGGTGACGGCCCGAACAGCTACCAGATTTGGCTGGGCGGCAATGGCAACCAGACGCGGCTAGCGGAGCTGTACGCGGACAGGTACGTGTGCTGCCGGTCTGGATGTGTGTCCCGGAATGCTTGTGGGAAGGTGTGAGAAGAGTGTGAGCCTGTCGAACGGCAAGGAGTGGGCCGTGACCTCGGAATCCACAAGTGTGTAGTCGTAGTTCATGACTTTCAAGGTAGGCACGGCTGGTTAAGTACAGAATATTTTTTACAGAATAATTTCCGAGTTGCTTGATGTTTTACAACACGCACCTTTTTGAGCTGCCGGTCCTGAATATTATGAATTTCAATCATTGCTTCTCATCCTAAATTTATCTGCATTGCTAATCATAGGGTCAAGGTGAAGGACTTGGAGAACTTCCTGGAGCCTATCTTTGCAGCCTGGCTCGCCAACCGCCGCCCCAACGAGGGCTTCGGTGACTGGACCGCCCGCACAGGCTTCCCGGCTGTGAAGCAGCTCGCGGCAGCCGCTGCACCGGCCGTCGTGGCGGTGGCTACCAACGGTAACGGCAACGGGAATGGCAACGGGGCAGCTCCCAAGGGCTCCGAGAAGCAGCTGACGGCCAAATGAGGAGCGCCTCTTTTGGGGTCTCGCGGAAGAGGGCACGGCTAGCTCGCCTTGAGTTATTGACGTTGAGCATCGAAGAAGGTTTCGGTTCTGAGCTGGGGCCTGTGTCTTCTTCTCTGTCTGGAAAATAAACCGGCGGGTAATTGCTTTTGTCGCGGGAAAGGGTGCTTTAGGAAAAGGAAGTCGCTGTGGATAGTGGCGAGTGGATGAGACGGGGAGGTTGCAGGACCCGTAGCGCATGGGTGTATCCTTCTCGGATGCTACCTGCTTGGTAGAAGGTGGAGGTGGATTGGGAATCTCGGGCGCCTTTCTTGCTGAACTGAATCAGGACTGGAGTGTGCTGCGCCAGTCGCAGTCGATTTGGGGAATGGTCATGGATCGAGGATGGCTGCGGCGGTTGTGGTGGTGGGCTTCTTCTAATGTACCAGACGCAGATACCACTCAATATCTAATCTCATCGTCGTCGTCTTTATGTAGTAGCAGGTATGTTTTCTAGTGCGCGATACCCACCTGAAAGGGGCAGCAGTGCATGTTGTCGCGATTAACTGTGCGTCCGGCTCAATGAGAAAAAGGGTTGCGCGTGTGTCTGGTATGGTTATGGTTATGGGTTGGTATGGTTATGGTACGGATTGCGGCATCGGGTTTTGCTGTTTTTGAGTTAGTTGGGGAGGGACGTTCAGCTATAGTAGCATGTGGTGTGTGCATGAGGTTGTCCTCTTTCTTTTGCGTTTCGACTATATTATGTTGGCGCTTAAGAAACTTAAGATGTTTGTCTCCTATCCGCCTTGGCTAAATTAACTACGGATACGGAAGGAACTTTCTGTACACGAACATTCTGTACAACTCACGACAGTTATGATAGCGTACGCCGTGGATGCGACATGTGGCCATGTGCCGTATGCAAGGATTCTGGCGAATTCAGTGATGGCGCATCATCCCGTCCATACTATTGCCGCGGTGTGTGCCAATGTGTAGCCCTCCACGGATACCCCTGTTGGTGGGTTGCCAGCACGCGTTGGATCGAGCGCGGTGGTAAAAAGAGTAGTAGGGGGCGTGACAAACAGCAAATGCTTTGATCTATGCGCATGTGAAGCCTGTGCGCTCGGCCCAACGGTTCGGGTCCCGTCTTAATAACGTTCCCTTTGCCAGCGCGATGGTGTATGCACCTGCACCTAACAAAATAAAAAACAATTGGCATTTGCGATTCAGTCTGCATCTCTAGTCACCAGCGCATCATCAACAACCTTCAGCAGTGCTCTGGCCGCCCCCTCTGCATCCTCCGCCCCAAAAATGGCGGACACCACCGCAATGCCTGCGTCCGAGGAGAGCAAGAGCAGGGGCGGCACTTCAACACGTTGCAGTTGAAACCTATTACTTTCACACGTACATAGCTTCATTCCATACATCTCTAAACGCACTTAACCCCGCAACCGTGGGTGCGAAGCTTGGGCGCCGCCCCGCCCATTCCCCAAACCCATCCTCGACCCGCACCAAGGGCTCACCCGCACAGCCTACTCGGATGGTATCGGCCGCGTTGCCGGCTGACACCCCGCCAATGGACACCACGGGCAGCGGAGCCGCCGCAGCACACACCGCCCCCAGTCCCTCCAGTCCGATGACGTCCGTGTCCTTGGTGCCCGTGGGAAGTACCGCCCCCGCCCCCAGGTAGTCGGCCCCGGCGGCGGCGGCGTCTCGGGCCTGCTGCGGCGTCTTGACGGATACTCCGAGGATGCGGGAGGGACCTGCCGGGAAGAAGCCGGGGGGGGGCGGAGACAAGAAGGGAGTGAATGGGGGAGCACGAGTCCACGAGAGTAAGAGCACGCGTGTACGTACGCGCGCGCGTGCGTGCGTGCGTGCGTGCGTGCGTGCGTGCGTGTGTGTGTGTGTGTGTGTGTGTATATACATATATATATGAATGCTTGAATGCAGACCAGGTTAACTCACCAATCAGCGCCCGCACCACCGCCGTAGGCAGATCCGACTGACCCACATGCACCCCGTCAGCGCCAACCGCCAACGCCACGTCAACTCGGTCGTTGATAATCAACGGAACTCCGTACTGCCGGCACACCTGGTCAAGGCGTCAGGAAAAGGTGTACGACTCCGTGTTGCTGTGAGCCTTCGTAACCGCCGCCCTCCTCCATCACCACATCTTCTCGGTGCTTCCGGCTTTTTCACCTTTGTTTTTTTTCCCAAGCGGACCGCAAAGATGCATCAGCAGGACTTCTAGGGTGCACTCTGCCTCCATCGTATGTGTATACACATATACCGCACCTTGGTCCCACAGCAGCGGACTTTACTCTTCCCCCCCCACACACACACACCCAGCCAGCACCGCACCTTCAGCGCCGCCGCCGCCTCCCGAGCAAAGTCTCCCCCGTCAGTGTCCTTCTCCCTGAGCTGTATGATGGTGGCACCACCCCGCACAGCCAGCGTTACTGCCTCCAACAATGTCCTGAAAAAGAGAAACGGTAAGGGGAAAGACTGTACGACAAGGGCTGTACGACACGGAGAGGCCGGGCAGACCAGGCCAGGGGGGAAGTGAAAGCGCGGGTGAAAGCTGTGAGACAGGGGTGTGTGTCGGTGGGTGTGAGAGAGCTCCTCCGGACGATAAAGGGGAGGGAAAAGGGACTCTAGGGAGAGAAAGACATAGTGAGAGTCCAGCACGTACGGTAACGCCGTATTGCTGTCGTGCGTACCTGTTGCATTTCTTGTTGCAGTACGGATCCGTGACACCGTAAAGCCGCAGCTGCCGCCGCAGCGTCGTCAGATCGACCCGCCGCAGCGATGAGGACACCGACGCCGCCGACGCCGCCGGCACCGTCAGCGGACCCGGCGTCATTAAGTGGAGGTGATGGAAGGGTCTCTGCACTCCGCCTCCCAGGCTGAGTGCGGCACTGGCTCGCAGGGCTTCATGGAGGGCGGTGCGGGCGGCAGTCACGGCGGCAAGGAGTGGGAGCCCCTTGGCTAGCTCCGCTGCAATAGCTGAGGCCAGTGTACATCCTGTGGGTTCAGGTGTTTGAGGGAAGTTGATAAATACGTGTTGTACATACGACCTGAGAAACAATTTCGCCCCTGGAGAAATCCGCCCCTGGAGAAAGAGGAGATTCTCCTGGTGTGGTCTTGTAGAAGGAGATGGTGGTGGTTTAGCCGAAGGGACAACCATACATTGTTGGGCCGTCGGCGATCCGGCAGATTCCGTTGGATGCTGGTGGTGGGTACGGAACCTGAGCGATTCCACTGAGAACTTGACTAGGGTGACTGGATGAGGGTGCCCCGAAATACCGGGGAAGGCAGGGTTTCGCCGGGTAGCGGCCGCAGGGTGAAGATATACCCCCCTGTCCCATACATCACTATATACGTCTACAACATCACACGGGACATATGTCTTCATTATCACCTGCTAAGCTTGGGGTTGGGCCCCGTGGGGTTGCCCTAAAACCCCCTTTGAGCCAATCAATCCCCAATCCCCGTACCTCCAACCACCGTCCAACCCCCAACGGAGGCACGTACCCGTGCCGTGTGTGTTTTCTGTACGGACCCATGCGGCACGCAGCTCGTGGATCTGCTCGCCGTCGTACAGCACGTCCACCACCTCCGCCGGGGCCTCCGCCGCTGCCCCGCAGACGGGCTTCAGATGCCCTCCCTTGACCAGCACTGCGCTACAGCCGGTGCGAAGCTGCAGCTCCCTAGCCGCCCGCCTCATGTCGTCCACTGTCTGAATGGAGCCGGCACCTGACGGGGACGGGGGGTTGAGGGGAGAGGGGGGGGGGTGTATTGGGGCGAGGATGCAGATCCTAAGGGATGGGCGAGGGGTTCAGAAATTCAGGAGAAATCCAGCAAGCGAAGACGCAATCCCACACAGCCGCATCGACCACCACGCCCACCCACACACCCATACGAACGCACCAAGCAGGGCCTCCGCTTCTGGAATGTTCGGTGTAGCCAGTGTGGCCAATGGCAGCAGGTCTCGGAGCAAGGCCGCCGCCACACCGCCCTCGGCCAAGCTGTGTCCGCTAGTGCTCACCAGCACGGGGTCCACAACCAGTGGCAGCTGGGTTGCAGGTGCACAGGGAGGGGAGGAGGCGGAAGAAGGTGATGAGGCGGCGGCTGCACGGTAGTGCCGTACACGCTCCGCGACCACGTGTACGGCCTCAGCGTTGGGCAGCATCCCAGTTTTGATTGCATCTGCGCCTAGGTCTGTGTACGGCGGGGGAGGGGTTCAGCAGGTCGAAGGGGTGAGGACAGGGAGGAATAGGGGGAGGGGGGAATGACCCCAGGGAAATCAGGAGGGGGGGTGCAACCATTCATCCAGGGGGGGTGAAACAGCAAAAAAATGCCAGTTCCGGTTTCGGTGCGGAGGGGAGCATACAATGCAGTGCAGCTGCTAATCCTGATCATGATGATAACGATGATGATGATGGTGAAAATGATGGTGATGATGCAGTAGGAAACAAAGGAGGATCAACCCCCCAACCACCAGCTTCAATCGTGTGTGGTTCGTCTTTCCCCCAACCACCCCAACCCCACCCCTTTACACACCGGCCCCTTAATCCGTTTCCATCCCCTCTCCCTACCCCCCTACCCGCGCCCATTCGCATATTACCAGACAACACAGCGTCAATCTGTTGCCTCAGAAACTCGGGCGGTACAGCGTGTACGGCACTGACACCGTGTGTGTTTTGTGCAGTGAGCGCCGTCAGCGCGGTCATGGCAAACACCCCTCGGGCCAACATAGCCTAAAAAAGCACGGGCGATGGGAAGGGAGGGGCCAGGGGGATAAGAATATGGAAAACGCAACCAACAAAAAAAGGGGGAAAGCGGAAACTGCGGAGGGAAACTGCACCCCGACACCCCGACACACATACATACATAGGCAGGCAGCTGGCAGAGGTTAAGGCCTGACTTCTGCTCCCGGAGTGTCCGGGTTCAAATCCGCTTGCCGACTACTCGGGTGTTTGAGAAGTGTTGAAAAGGGAGGTGGCCCCCCATCTTATGGACGGTGTAGGACGTGATAATATCAACTTGCGAGCTGATCAGGAACTAAGTTGAGGCGCCGCTGATCCGCTAGAATTGGTTGGATGCTGGTGGTGAGTTGCTGAACCCAGCGAATACATTCTGAAGTCGGATGGGGTGAACGAATTAGGGTGCCCCTCTAGCAGGGGAGAGCAGGGAACTGCCTCGGGAAAGGGGGCCACTGGTGAAGCATAACCACCCTGTAACGACATACATACATACGTACGTGGTAGACCAATAGCGTATGATATAATTATAATATAAACGATAAGGCGGAGTCCTCAACCAGAGGACAACATAAGGAGCGCCGGCATCATCTCGTACACAGCGTCGTGCCGCCGTACCGCAAAATCGACACTCCCCCCCCACTTGCGTCTTCACGGTCGCGGCTCCGCAAACGTTGCATGAAGTCACATGCGCCGTTAAACGGTCAGTCACGGAGATAACTACCTTCGTGCCGGCAGCACAGTCTGGCACGTCAAGGTTGTACGACGGGATCGTACGGCATGCGTCGTACCCACCTTGACGTCAGCCTGGATGCCAGCTCCACCACCGGAGTCGGAGCCCGCGATACTGAGCACCCGTGGAAGCGATTGCGTCGCCGCCGCCGCCGCCGGGGCCTCCGTGCTACTGCCCTTTATCACTGCTGCTGCTGCTGCCGCCGTCTCCTTCTTCCCCTCCTCCTCCGCCACCACCTGCCCCTCGGAGGGCCCCACAGACGCCCCCCCACGAGCCCCCTCCGCCGCCGCCTCGCTCTCCACTCCGAATAGGAACGCACGGATCTCTTCCCAACCCGCAGCCTCGTACAGCACACCGCCGCCGCCGCCGCCGCTGCTGCCGCAGTAGCTGCCCCCACGGGCCGCCAGCGGCACCGCTGCAAGCGGCCGAAGCCGCACGCCGAAGCGCGCCGCGACACGGCGCAGCAGTCGGTTGGCGCCAACCACCACGCCAACATCCGCCTCCAACATCGCCCCTAGGTCACTCGTCGAGTCACCCACGTACACGATCAAGCCATCGCCCCCGCCATCGCCATCGCCGCCATCGCTATGGCCCCCGCCGGCGCTCCCGCTGTTATCAGCGGCGCCACCGGCTACTGCTGCTGCTGCTGCGGGGGGGGGCCCTGCGGCGGCCGTCCCTGACCGCTTCGCCCGCTCCTTCATCACCGCCCGGAGCTCCCGCCGCTTGTCCCTGGCAGTCTGCACTCGCTTCACCAGCGCGCCAGATGTGAAGCCGTCGGGGCCGATCTGAGGGGGGATACCGTGAGGGGAAATGAGGGGGAAATATATATACACACACACCGACATACGGACATACAAGCAATGCATTCAGGCGATACGGAAGGCGGCGATGCAAGCCGAGGAAGGCGGCGGCTGAAGCCGTCGCTGCAGTGGTAATCGTAGCAGCCAGCAGTGGCAATAGCAGCACCAGCACCGGCACCAGCACCAGCACCTAGCATTTGTTGGAAACGACCACGGAGTCCACGGGGACCAGGGAGGCAGCTCTCCCTCCGCGTAACCCTGGGGACAGGCACCGGTACCGGTGCTGGTGCTGGTGCTGGTGCGCACGTGACGTCGCCAACCCGCGGAGGCGCCGGGCGCCACCTCCCCCCAAGCCCTTAAACCACCCACAGTCCCTCCGCCGCCACCACCGCCACGACCGCCGCCATCAACCCCCCAGTACCTGCAGGCTATTACACCGCAGTCGCACACCACTGGCAGCGGAGGCGGAGGCGGAAGACGGCGATCTGCCAGGAGGTGCCGTGTCTCGGAGAGCCGCCGCCGCCTGCTGCTGGTGCTGGTGCTGGGCGCCCTCCTGCGCATTGGCTACCTCCTCCGTACGACATGCTGTTGGCGCCAGGGGCGCTCCCAGTGCCGTACCCACGAACACATCGGACCAGTTCACCGAAACCACCTCCACGGGGATACCTGGGGGGTGGGGGGTGCGGAGGGAGGGGGTGGAGCCCAGGGGGGCACTATGGGAAAAAAGTGTACTAGGGTGGGGTGGGGTGGGGGAGGAGAGAGGGAAGGGAAGTCGTAAAAGTGGCGGGGGAGAGCGCTCGCCCCTTCGTCCCCCCTCCCTCTACGCGCCGCTCTTTCTCTGCCCAGCCAGGTTCAGCCCTCTTCGCCCTCTCAGCCACCGTTTCCCCCCCTTCCCCCCCCCCACCCAACATACATACATACACACACGTACCGCGGTCCAGCGCCGCCCTCAACGTCTCCCGGCATTCAGGTCGCAACACCACTGTCGTACCCGCCGCCGCCACCTCCGCTTCCGTTGAGCCTGAGGGAGCAACGGTGAATGGGGAAATGCGTGTGGGCAGTGACCGCACTCGTCTGCGTCACACCTCACTCCTCCCCCTCTTCCCCCTCCCTCCCACAAGCTCTTCTTCTACGCGGCCTGCTTCCCAAGCCATGGCCCTCCCCCCCCCCCTCCTCCTTTCCCTCCTCACAGCATCTCATCCCATTCGCTCCACCTCCCGCCAATCCCACTCTTTCCATCGTTCACGAACCTTTCAGGATGCCGCTCTCCTCCACCACCAGGTTCATACGCTCGTCAAAGTCGGAGAGGCGCTCCAGGAAGGACGACAACCCCTCAGCGTCGTACGACTCAGCGTCGGGATGCTTTCCATGGCAATAGGTAGTACGACAGGTGCGATGGCAGCACCACCACCACAAGCACCATTACCGAAACAGCAAACGGACAGGCAGTCAAACAGCAGTAAGGACAGCAAAGGTGTAGAGCTCAGCGGGGGCGTCCTGCGGTTGGGTTTGGTGTCCACATCCCCCCCCCCAAAGCCGTCCCCTTGTTTCCCCTCCCTCCTCCCCCCCCCCAGCAACAGGAAAGTGACCGTACCTCTCATTGCCTACTGCCTTCTTGTATCAGGCGGGTGTCCTCGGGTCCTAATTAGTTAAATATTATAACGGTATAACAACGGTATTAGTTAGAGCGCGTAGGCTTCTAAGTTCCCATGCAGTCCCCCCTCCCCTTCCACTTCCTCCCCCTCTTCCCCCGCCGCCCCCTCTCACCTCCTCCGGAAGTATCTCCCGCAGCAGCTCCCCCTGGCGAGCCAGGTAGTTGGCAGCCAGGTCACCGAGCGTGGTTCGAGCCCAGGACGTGTCGCCGGGGGTTGGGCGGCCCTGGAAGGTCCCGGGGGGGGGCCCGCCCGAGGGGGGGGAAAAGGCCGGGAGGGGGAAGACGAACCACAAACAAGTGAAAGGGTGTACAAGAAGCAGAACTGACCAGTTGAAGGCGTCCTTGAAGGCCGCGAACTCGCCGAGAAGGGGGGAAAGACCGAGAAGGGGGGCGGGAAATGCGATTTACATGTCGTGACACACGATGATGAACCGATGATGTTCTTCCCCCCCCCCCTGGCCTTCACGAACCCAGGAGGAGCGCCACTGCCCCCCGTCGTGTCCTCCTCCTCCTCCTCGCGACCGCAGTCCCACAATTTCCCCTCCCCCCCGGTCGGTCAGTTCTACGTCTGGTACACTCTTGCCCTGGCAGCAGCTTCACTCGTTCACGTGGTTCGTCTTTCCCCTCCACCCGCACGCACGCACGACATCAGTCCCTCGCGCACCCGCATGTACCTGGGCCGCGGCAGCCTCCGCCAGCCTCATAAGGCCCCCGACGGTGTCCTTCGCCGTACAGGTCTCATCGAAATCTATAACCAGTGCGGCGATGCGACCTGGGAATGGATGAATGAAAATAAATCATTAAAGCTGCAGGTAGGACAAATGAAAGAAAAATCATACGTGCATTTACAAAATAGAAACAAGAACTAAAGTTTTGGATCGGTAGAACATTCATTCCACGGTGACCATCTTCATCTTCATCATTGCCCCAAACTGTTAATGTCATCATCGGCCATCATGATCGTCATGACGTTCCACTTTTCCCCCCACACCTTACCCCCCCACAGCCTCCCTCTTCCCCCGCACCCTCTTCCCCCACACCCTCCCCCCGGAGCTCACGTCGCGGAGGTGAGAAGGGCTGCGCTGCGAAGAACTCCGCCTCCAGCTGCATGGCCCGTCGGTACAGCGACAACAACTTGGCTGTGTGGGTGGCAGTGGTAACGGTGGGTGACAGCACCCACTTGGTTTTGAGCAGGAGCGGTAGGAGGAGACGTGGGAGGAAGTGCATAATAAGAGGGGGGTGGAGGGGAGGGGGATTGGATTAGTGGACATTGGAGGAGAACCCAACACGCGTCCCTCTCACTATCCCTTTTCCCCCCCCCCCAATGGGCCCCCACGCACTACTCTACTCGCTCACCCCTGTCCGCATGAACCGCCAATCGGTCGAAAACAGCCTCCTTCAACGCGGGGATGGCCTGAAAGGGGGGGGGAGGGGGCCAGGGGGCCTTAGCGCTTTTCCTCGTTCGGGGGGATATATAAAATATTTATTTCCAAACCGATAAATAAGCTTTTGAGTCCGACTGCTAATAAGCTGTTTCTTAACCGTGGCGCGCTGGGGGGGGAGCTCCCCCCTTTTCCCCCCCATAGGTCTTTCCCCCCCCAGAATGACGAGCTGTATTTTGAAAGCCAGTCCACCCATGGGCCTTATGTGGTTCCCCACGCGGCTTCAGGGCGCCCCCCCTTTCCGGGGTATCGTGTCGCACCTATACCCCCCAAACCCCCCTCGTCTGCTGCCACTGAAAGGAGGGAGGGAGGAGGGACGAGCCGAAGGACGCATGGGTTACGTCGCAACCTCTTCCTCTGCCCCTATCTCCTACATACCCTCTCCACCGCTTAGCGGCCCTCCCCTTCCCCCCACCTCCCTCCACCTTCACTTTTACACCTTCAGCTTTGGACGTGTCAGCAATTTGCGACTTTGGACTTTGCCGGCAGTTGCTTGTTGTTCTTGTTGTTTCCTGCATGTGTTCCCCATCCCTCCCCTCACCCGCACCAACACGCACACCTGGGGAAAACGTCCACTCTGGGTTCCTCCCTTCACCTGTTCTACCACCCGCATCTCCTCCCCCAAGCCCCCCGAACCCCCAACCCCGCACTACCACTACCTCCGCGACCCCCCAACCCCGCACCGCACCCACCAGGTACTCCGGAGACGAGTAGGTCCGCACCCACTCCCAGTACTCTCCCTGACTGGGCGCGCCTCCACCACCACCACCACCAGCACCTCCACCACCCCCACCACCAGCACCGGCGTGTGCCGCCTTCAGCGCACAGCCCAGGAAGCCGTACAGTCGGGAGCACGGCAACATGGCCGCCAGGATCTCCACTACACCGCCGTCCTGCTGCCGAGTAGAGACGAGGAGGGCTGCGCGTGTGTATGTATGTATGTGTGTGTGTGAGAGAGAGAGAGAGAGTTTTTTGGGGTAGTTGGGGAGCAGACGGGGGAGGAACGAAGGTGATGAAAGAGGTTCGCCCCTTCCCAGCCTGTCCCTCTCTTTTCCCTCTTCCCACCCAAATACACATACCCCCCCCCCCCCTCTTCCCCCCACCCCGCTCCCAACCCACCTGTCCCCCGTCCTCCGCCACCTCCATTAGAAAGTCTGTGTAGGCCTTCGTAGCAGCACTGGGTCCATCAAAAACGACGACACCCTCACCACCGTCCCCACCATCACAACCACCACCACCATTTCCGATACACTCGTACGCAGGGAACGATGTTTCCGGACTGGGGGCCCCCGGCACCTGCACCTCCGTGCGTGTCTTTGTGTGCTCGTGCGTGTGCGTGTGTGTATGGTGGGGCAGGTGTACACCCCACCGCGCCGCGTAGACCCCGTGCAGCTGAAGCTCCTCGTGCACCCCCCGCAGCAGACGGCCCAGTACCGCGAAGGTGTCGTCGTCCAGGGCGAGGGCCTTACTCAGCGCGATGCCGTACGCACGAGCGAAATATTTCAGGAAGTAGGCGTCCTGGGCTATGTAGTGCTGGAAAGCGCGCCTATACGCCGCGGAGTCACAGACGGGAGGAGGAGGAAAAGAAGTACATCAAAGAAATGGAAACCGAGGGAAAAAGAATGGGGAAGGCGAGGATAGCGACATGGAGAAAGCTCAAGAATGCCAGCCGGCTCTAGGCGCAGGGGGCGGGGAGAGAAGGACTGAGATTCGGGGGACTAAGATTCGGGTTTGCTCGGGGCAGAGGAAGGGAAGGCCCTGGGTTCAGGCAGGACCCAGATGGGAATGGGCAGCCCACGTGCGCAAGATTGGGAGGAAGTGGAATTTGTATGGAGAGAGCGGGGCTGTGACGAGTTTGACCGGGGAAGACCCCCCGGTGGGAGGGCTTGCGGGTAGGCGACCATCGCTATGCCAGCATATGAGGGCGATGCGAAAGGATTCGAGGTTGTTATGCACAACACCTATGCTGTATGAGGATTATGTATCTAGGCGTTATGGATGCGCACCGGTCAAGGGTGCCCTGTGCCAATCCCTGCACGAAGGGATCGTGCAGCGACATGTAAACTTCCTTCTGAACGGATTGCCAAAGCTCCATGGAGAGCCCATTCGTTGCAGGCAGGCCGCTAGGCATATTCGATCCGCCTGCCATGACGGACGACATAGACACTTGCCGCAGCCGGCCCCTGCCTACAATCCTCCGTGTGCACGATATCCAGCAGCTCTTGTTCCAAAGCAGCATGAAGAATTAGTCTTGGGCGTTCTGCACCATACTGGAAGTTGATAATCTCTGTCGGTTGTGGCGGTTGATGTCAAGCAACGCAGATGGTCTTTTACCGGGCAAGACCAGATACATTTGGAGCCTACTGCCTGCGCCTTTTTATTTTCCTTTTATTTCCTTTTTAAAGATGTTTTCAGCGCAGCAGAAGGTGCTCCGGGCCAGCGGTCCACAGCGCGGGCCTCACTGCGTCCGCGTGAAAGCCACGGCTGAGCCTGTTACCAGCGCACCACCAGCTCGTGTTCTCGTTGCCGGCAGTGGCGCGTACTCTGTAAAGGGCACCTCGCGCAAGGTTAATGAGGTACAGGACTTTTGTGCATCTCTGCTGAACATCATACCGACGCAGTTTTGTTTACAAATGCTTTGGGCCTCATAATGTTTTGCAGGACCGTTACGATGTCAAGGTATGCTTCCGTCGGAGGGTCGTGGGCGGAGCGGTTCCCTTGCCGTTAAGGCTCGTTGCAATCTGTACCACCACGGTGACTTCCGAGATGTTCTCCTATGCAGATCGCGGCTCCTGGCGAGGCGGGCGAGCCGTTTGCTTGGGCGGGTGTTTACGATGGCCATGGTGGGTCGCTGGGGCCGCTTTACTACCTCGGTTGTGCACATGATTACTACGGTCCTAAGGATAATCTTTTAGGATATGCGCTATCCCTAGTGCAGCGGTGTTTGCAGCTTGGGTGCGGACCGGACTTACGGTTTCTTACTCATCCTTCCCTCGTGTTCAGAGAGCTGCGACTACTCCCATGATCCTAAACATATTTTCCGTACATACAACACGATGTCCCTTCTGTTACTTCCGACCAGCCTGCGTTTGTTCGTGTGCCAAGGGATGTCTCGTTGTGTGTTTGTCTACCCTCTCCATTCCCCTCGCTTTGCCCCTTCTCCTAGAACTACCCGTCAGCAATTTGTCTCAAGCTTTCGTAAATGTCCATCTTCACTTTCTGTAGGCGGCTTTGCGGTTGCGGACTGGCTGAAGAACAGGCTGTTTGAGGTCGTGGAAAAGGAGTGGAGTAACGGGTACAAGGTAGGGAGACACCAGCACAAAAAATGTAATAATATCGGAGCCGCCAGCGAAGATCCACCGATTTACAAATTGTAGTAGCCGAGCATTGCGTGTGTGTGTGTGCGCGCGCGCGTATGTTTGTGTGGAGGCTGATGAGGTGCTCAAATGACAACCAGGATGAGGAACACACATACACACGAACGCGCGAAGGACACACATACACACACGCACGAAGCAAAAACACACATCCATGCATATGTGTGTGTGTTACACCTCGGTTGCGTTACCCAGAGAGGTGTCACGGACCCTTGCGAGCCATTGGCCCAAGAGCCTGAGAGCCAGAAGTTAGCTTCACGTCATGATATTGCGCAAAAAGTTCTATTACCCAAGCATTATACACACACGGGAAACCAGGACACTAGTCAACTGCGACCGCCTGTGTAGAGACGAGCGTGTAAGCCAAATGCCAGGTGGGCCAGTTCTGTTTGCTCGCTGTCCTTCATGATCGGCTTCATATCGGAATCGCTGTTAGGGATTACGTTCGAGCACTCGCGACAATGCAGAATAAGCATAAGGGCATTTTAGACGAAGATGACCCTCATCTTTCACCGTGATGAGCAGCGCGCACAACTCACAGATCCCCTGCTCACAGGGCTTCCCAACAAAGGCACGATTCGCCGCTAGGTGCCCACGACAGCACGTTCGAAACCTCATCATCAATCATCGGTGCACATCTGCCGGGATGAGCTCTAGCCGGATGTGCGGGAAAGCCAGGTAGCCCCCCACAACATGTGCGCCGTGTGGGTGGCATCGGGGAAGGTGAAGCCGTACCGCACGGCTAGTCGCATTTCAAGCCCTCTGGTACGGCTGCAACGCCTATCACGTGACATCAAAGCGACAAGTACACCCTGAACATGCTCACGCACGCACCCTCCCCCACCTCCCCGACATTCACATTCACATACACACAAACGCGCACACATTTGGAGGCCAAGGGGTTATTCCCTATGATGTGATGTGATGTGGGTCACAGCCCTGCGCAACCCTGTATGTATGTATGTGTGTATGTCCACAGCCGGAGTTCTCCATCAAGGAGGCGTACCTGGCCGCCGACCGCAAGCTGCTATCCGTGGGCGGCGGCTTCATGGGTATGGGGGAGCGCGGCGTGGGGGGGTCCAAGTGCGGCGCCACAGCTGCCAACACCCTGCTCTTCGCAGCCCCCGACGCCGCCTCCACCACTCTCCTCACCGCCAACGTCGGCGACGCGCGCATCGTGCTCATTCGCGGCGGCCAGCCCGTGCAGCTGACGGAGGACCACGTGCCGGATCGGGAGGAGGAGCGGATCCGGATCGAGCGCATGAACCCGAATCCAAAGCTGCCGCTGGTGCGGTACATGGGCGGTACATGGCGAGTGGGCGGGCTGCTGGCGCTGAGCCGCGCCTTCGGAGACGCCTACCTGAAGGGCTCCTTGCAGTTCGAGGGTGTGGCGGCGGGGAGTGACGGGTACAGCAGCGGTTTTGGCGTGATTGCGGAGCCGTACACGACGTTGACGCCGCTGACGGGTGCGTCAACGCCGGCGGCATGTGGGCCACGTAGTTGGGGTCGGGGGGTGATATGGGTTTAGACCTGAGCTCTCACGGCATGTAGGCCGGTGGTTTTGGGTTGGTGGGGAGGGGCATTGGGTTGGGTTGAGGGAAGGGGGTTAGGCGGGGTAGAGGATGGGGGGAGAGAGGGTTCCCGTTGTCCTGCGCCTCGTGCTGTTGGGCTGAACAGGAGTCTCATCATGATGCGGTTTCCTCAGTGACCCGTATTCTCCTCGCCTGGTACTGCTCCTGTTCCTGTTGCTGTTGCTGTTGCCACAGCCGAGGACAGCTGGCTGGTGGTGGCCTCTGACGGTCTGTTCGCGGAGGAGGAGCGGGGTGGTGGGGGGGGCCTGGACAACCAGGGGCTGGCGGAGGTGCTGGCGGCGGTGCCCCCGGGGGCTGATCTGAACAAGGTGGCGGAGGCCCTGGCGACCGCGGCGGTCAAGGTGGGTGCTGAAGTGTGTGTGTGTGCGTATGTATGTATGCATGCATGTATGTATGTATGTATGTATGTATGTATGTATGTATGTATGTGGAGGTGTATGGTTGTGGGGGATGTGTGAGAGTTTGGGTGCTGAGGTGATGTTGAGGGTTGTTGAAAAGTTTGCATATGCGTGTGCATGTGTATGTATGCATGTAGGTGTGTGTATGTATGTGCGTTGCTGGACAGGTGCTTGCTTATCGAGGGATATCTCCTTGAACGCGTGGATGAGATAGCAGCTGGGCAGGGCTTGGTGTACGTGTGTTGGCGGTGTTGGTGTTGGTGATGTGAAGTTCACGTAATCGGGACGTGTTGAGCCCTGCCGTGTCACTGGTAACAATGACAATCCTGATCCCGGCCCAGTTCCCCCCGCCCCCACCCCCACCCCCGTGGGCCCACATGACCAATGCGGATTCCTCTCCTTCCTTTCCCGCACATGCTAACGTGACCCCCGCTTGATGCAATTGATTAGTCAAATAATTAATTCACTCCGGGCGATGCTTCGATGGTTCTTCGAACGCAGGTGGGCTCTACGGACGATGTGACGGTGGTGGTGATGCGTCTAGCCGTCGCGTAACGCCGCTGAGAATGAGAATGAGAATGAGAAATGATATTTGTTTGGGGTAAGAAAAACACATCACCGCGCACACAGTGCTGGTTGGAATGCGCTGGGACTGGGCCGCGAATCCGAGTTGGACACGTAGGGGTTGTCAGGAAGGCGGACGTTGACAGCGAATTGAAGACAGCGATTTGCTGATTTTGAGGCTGTGTCTTTGTGGTCTTTGCGTTCAAGTGGTCTGGGAAGAGGGTGCTGGTGGTGGTGGTGGTAGGGCGAAGGGCGAAGTGGCGTATGGCCTCCTTTTTGAGGTTTCGACATTCCCTCCCTCCCTCCCCTCTTCCTGGGGGAGAACGTTAGGTGGGTTTTGTGTTCTCTACTTTTGCCGCTGTGGTGGTGTGGAGCCGCTTTTTGACCTTTCCTTGGTTCCTGGTTTGCCTTCCTTACAAGAGGATGACCGACAGATTCTCCAGCTCGTAAGGATGTATACGCGACTGAGAGCCCCCGGCCATGCTGCTCGAGTTTTGTGACTGTACAGTATAGCACGTTTTGCGTCGTATTTAAGTGGGATTCGGAACAAGGCGCGCTTTGTCCCTCCATTTTTTCTCTCCATTTTTGGTGTAAGTCTTTGCGAGAGTGGAGTCCTTGCCGATTGATTGTTGGAACCCCCAACCGAGCCCGCGGGCGAGCTTCTATCGGAGCCGTTTGGTCTCTTGGTCACACACACATTCCGTGCTGCGTCGTTCGTGAATGGAGGGGGAAATGGGACCGAGTGGTTGAGAGTTGGTTGGTGGGAGATGAATGACAAACCACAACCGAAAGGTTTTTGGGGAGGGGCCACCGTACACCTGTAGAGAGCTGTGTGTGCGTGTGTATGTCTCCCAATTTTGTTCGGTTGGTGTCTTCTGCGGAGAGGGAGGCGGAGACAGCGACGGTGAATTTGGATATGTACGCAGGGTTGGGTTGGTTGCGTTGCGTTTACGGATAGTCGTGCCGTACATGTACGACAGTACGACATGCCAGTTTCCCGGTTCTGGCCTTCAGGATTTGTGTACGAGCATCGCGAGTTGACTAAGTGTTGTACGGTAACTGTGGTTTTTGTATGTGTTACTGTAATCGGAACATTTGAGCTGGAGATGCGAGGGCTGGCAGGCAGCTGCCCCGCTGCTTAACAGTGTGTGTTGCGAGGTGTGTCGCCCGCTGTGTGTGATATCCCAAGTGCGTTCGTTTCGGTACGTTCGGCGTTGGTGTTTGCGTGTATACGGGATTTCAAATGCTATCGCACAATCGTAGTTGCGTGTTGTAAAAGACAGCGAACAGACCTTGCAGCGTGTGGGCTCGTGTCGACATCGTGTGTGTATCGCCGAGAGACGCGTCGTGGTGCTGCCTTTGCGAGCCTGTTGCGCGCATCGATGCCGGTTAAGGGCTGGGCGCTCTGATGTATTGACGGATGGATAGATGTGCGGAAATGTATTGGTGAGCGCAAACGGGCCAAATGGGATTTTCTTTTGCAGGGCTTTGTCGCGGAATGACCCACGATGTGCTGCGGGAGTGTTTCGGGATGATAATCTGTTTTATTTTCAACACCATCAAGTTTCTTCTTTTGGGGATTTTGCCGGTTTGTTTAGAGTGTTGTATCATCCTGTTCTGTCATTTGCAGGGTGCGTAGGATATTTACCAAACTTTTAAACCAAGCTTTAGTTTTGCAATGTTTCTTGTTGCCTGGAGACCAATGTCGCACAATGGCATATTTCTGCAATACCCTTGTGAGGCGAGGCGCAACTGACCGGTATTGCTGAAGTTTCCTCTTCTCACCCTAAGCAGCTATATTTCAAGGATCTTTCCGAAGCTATATATTGGACAGGACATGCCAATTCACAATGCCTACGTTAACAGGCGCCACGTACCCACTCTCCGCCTCCGTCTGCTCTCTCTTTCTTCATAGAGGCTTACTGAGCTTCAAATTTTGTGACTTCGAGATCCAGACAGCTCAGCAAATGACCCGTGGGTCGCTTAGCCAGGCAAAAACGAGCTGTCCCGTCCCTACCATCCGCCAAAGAATGCTTCGCAGAGATATCTCTACCTGCTATAATTGTCAGAAAAATGAAGCGGTATTAGTTTCCTTTCCTGTCCAGAGTATCCTCCTTATCCACAACCTCCAGTCAAACGGCCCCGCAGGCAACCTTGTCCATTGCTGACGCGGACCATGGCAGTCAAGGCAGTCTTTGCCCGTATGAGTGCCTAACCGCGGAGGTCTTCCCTGCTTTTGTGCGCCGATTGTTTTGTAACAAACCAAATGAGTAGGTAAACATCGAGCGTTATAAAGAAATAAATAGAAATAGGTATACAGCAAACAGCTCAGGCTGTCGAGACCATACAACGTTTTTTTGCAGATTCAGGCGTCAGATACACTTCACTTACGGCCGCGCCCCGAGCGCATTAGATGCTTTTCCGCCTGCCCGCAATCAAAGCACCTCCAACCCGCCACATCTTGCGAAGCTCTCCGTCGCGTCGTCGTCGTCTTCCTCCTCCTTCCACACCCTCCTCCGTCTCAGCGGTCTCGGTGTCCCAACCAGCTGCTCAGCCGTCCTTCAACCCCGCGACCTCCAAGCCGCCGCCGCCGCCGCCGCCGCCGCCCGCCAGCAGCGCGCCAGCAGCACCGTCGCCACCGCTGCCGCCCTCGCACCAGGCGACCATGCAGACCAGCCGCCGACGCGGCCGCAGCGCCGCCCCGGCCGGACCCCCCCTGGACGAACCCGCAGCTCTCGACTCCATCCGCCGCCACGCCATCACCGCCGTCAACCGTCCAGAGCTCAACCGACGGATCTTAGACGCCATTCCTGCCACCGCGCGCTTCGTGCTAATCGGGGAGGCATCGCACGGCACCAAAGAGTTTTACGACCGGGTATGTACGGCAAAAAGGAGGGAAAAAACACATCAACACATGCCCCTCCTCCTCTGTATCTGTAAGCCTCTGTGACGCATGTAAACGCCACAGCAATCACGAGGTATAAAAAAAACTGTAACACGCGTGCTTTTTCCAACCTCTCCCTCCCTCATCCCGTTCTCCCCCCTGGTTTCCCCATCACCAAAAACACACACACACACACACGCGCGCACGTGCTCACGCTGACACCTACTACACACGATTCTCCCAGCGTGCCGAGCTGACCCAGCTGCTGATTGAGCAGAGGGGCTTCACGGCGGTCGTGGTGGAGAGTGACTGGCCCGACGCGTTCCGTGTCAACCGCTACGTGCGGGGTTTGCAGCTCCGAGACCGACAGGGCAGCCACTGCGGGA